GGGCCTCCTTTTACTACTTTTAATATGTGTTGTCTGATTTTGCTATGATTGAGTTGTGTCCATTGTTTTCCTGATCTGGATATTATTTGCATGATCTTTGTCAGGTGTATGCTTTGCACATTTCCTTTCCACTCTATAAATTGCTTTTCATTCCTTGATTGTGTCCTGGGCTGTACAAATGTGTTGAGCATTTTTTTAAAAATGTAATTTAGTTAGAGTCTACAGGGTCTCACCACACAGATTGGACCCATAGTGATCCTCCTGTTTTTAGCCTCCCAAGCCCTGGGATTATAGGTGTGCATCACCATGCCCAGTCTCAATAGCTGCCGTCTCAGTGCACCACAGGGGCAGGGCCAGCATGGCAAGTTGGGGATCGAACCCCAGTCCCTGTGTCTGCCTAAGTAGGTGCTTTAATCCGCTGAGCTATCTGGCCAGCCCTGGAGATATTTTTTAAGTGTACAAGATGGTGTGGGTAGGTTAAATGCAAATACTATGCTGTTTTTTTTTTTTTAATTTTATTTTATTTGTGTGTGTGTGTGTGTGTGTGTGTGGCCAGCTCAGCCCACTAGGGGGCAGGGCTGGCTGGCATGTGGTGCTGGGGATTGAACCTTGGTCCCTGTGTTTTGCTAAGCTTGTTTTAAGTAGGTGCTTTAGACCACTGAGCCATCTCACCAACCCCTACTACGCTGTTTTGTATAAGGGATTTATGCACCCAAAATTGTTTTAGGGCTGGAGATCTGCAACTCCTATCTAATAGGAAAAAGTTGAGCTCATTTAGTTATGTGTCCTGTTCAACTTGCCCGCATTGCTTCATGAGCTCCACGAGATAGGTGTTTCTGTAATGTATTTTTTCCCTGCTGTACTCCAGTACTGGAGGTGTCTCTAGCACAATGTTCCACCGCTGAGAACTTTTTAAGAAACTAAACGTCATTGTAAGAATGAATACACTGAAACTCACTTTTTTGTTTCCATGAAAAAACTAAAACTAACTTTTGTTATATAATCTTAGTCCTATTTCACATGCACTGCACCTGCCCATTCACCAATTAAATGACAAAGCACTGGGCAAGGGATTTTTGGGCAAAACCTGAAAAGTACAGAAAACTAAATCAAACAAATGAATGACATTAATTGAACTAACAGGCTTCTGCACAGCCAGGGAAACAGCACAGAGAAGAGACAGACCACAATAGAAGAGAAAGTATTGGTATAGTATGCAGCTGACAAGGGTTCTATGTTTAGTTCTTCAGAATATATGAAGGACTAAAATCTCAATAGCAAAAAACAAAAAAAAGCAAAGCGCTAGGTGATAGTATAAATAGATATTTATTCAAAGAAGATATACAAATAGAAGACACATAAATGGCCAACTTATATTTAAAGCAGTTCAGGGCTGGTGAGATGGCTCAGTGGTCTAAAGCACCTACTTAGAACAAACTTAGCAAACACAGGGACCTCTATTCAATCCCCCAGCACCACGTGCCAGCCAGCCCCGCCCCCTGGTGGGCTGAGCTGGCCACACACACACACACACACACAAATAAATAAATAAATAAATTTTAAAAAAAATAAAAATAAAACAGTTCGACTTCAGAATTGTTAGAGAAATACAACACATTGCTACAGTAAGATACATCACTCAACTGTCAGCGCTCTCTTATTACAAAAAGTATTAATAATTTGTGAGTATGTGGAGAAAAGGAGCCCCTGGAGCACCCTGGGAATGGAAGCTCCGACAGCCACGAGGAAAACAGCTTCCAAATGTTAAGACTAGAGCTGGTGTTATTATAGGGGAAAGAAACTCCCAAAGCATGCTAGATGTCTGGGACAAGTTCATGTTCTCCAAAATAAACAAAACGAATTTTAGGAACAATGGAGGTTAAGAGCAGAATATATTTACTTCTGTCTGAGACAGAAGGGGTCTCAAGTAGGTTGCCAAGAAACCTGCCTTTTCTAGGGATTTTATAAAGCAAAACTTCAAGATGAGGTGGGTCCAGGTGGGGAAAAGTGGGACATCACAAGGTGGGCATGAGGTGGGACAAAACTATATTCAACCAATAAAATTATAAACATAATTACTCAGGTAACATTGATAAAATAGGAGTCAAATAGGGAGGCAGGTCATGTAGCAAGGGACCACAGAGGCTTTGTCTAAAAGAGGTGGGTCAGGGGCTCTTCCTGGCTTTCCCAAGGTATTTCTCAATATTTATTTATTTATTTATTTATTTATTTATTTATTTATTTATTGGAGATACCAGGGATCAAACTCAGGACCTTGCATTTGCCAGGCAAGCACTTATTCCACTGAGCTATCTCCCTGGCTTATTATTTATTTATTTATTTATTTGTTTATGCAGGGAATTGAACTAAGGTCCTTGTGCTTGCTAGGCAGGCACTGTTCCTCAGGCCATGGATACCTATTTGGGATACCATCACTGTTGTTCATCCTTAGGGGAAGTACGTGGGTGTGCTCCTTTCATCTTTTGTCTTGAGGTCCCGCTCTCAGTGGAGATGTCTGTCTCCCCCACAGTGGCAAGGTATTCTGCCTTCCGCCCTGGCTCCTTTGAGGGCCTACTCTGTCTGACTGCCTATGATATTTCTCCCTAACTTAGCTGCCTATGACGGTGCGATCCAGCAATCCTGCTTCTAGGTAATTATCCAAGAAAGGTGAAACCAGTTTGTTGATGAAATGTCTGCACATTCACAATAGGTGCGAAGCAAGCCATCCACCAACTGATGAACACATGAACTGTGGTACACGTACACAACGGTGTGCTGTTCAGCTGTAAAAATGAGCGGAATTCTGTCATTTGATGCAACTTGGATGGACCCAGAGATTGTTTGTTTGTTTGTTTGTTTGTTTTTCAGAACCAGGGATTGAACTCAGGCCCTTGTACTTGGCAGGCAAACACTTATTCTACTGCGCTATCTCCCCAGCCCCAACCCGGAGGCTCTTACGTGAAGTGAAATAAACCAGGTACATAAAGGTGAGAAGAATGCGTGGCCTCACTCATATGTACAATGAAGAAAGTGGATCTCACAGAAGCTGAGGGTGAGGGATGGTTTCCAGGGGCAGGGAGAGTAAGGAGGATGGGGAGAGATTCATCGTTGGGTGCCAAGTTATAGTTAGAAAGAAAAAAGAAATTTGGGAGTGCTGTTGTACAGTGAGGTTCTACACACACACACACACACACACACACACACACTTATACACACACATCTGGAAAAGCTAGTGGAAAAGATTATATTTTTGCTATAGAACTATGATAAATGAGATATGTTTAACCTGACTTTAACTTTATTTATTTATTTATTTATTTATTTTTGGCAGAACTGGGGATTGAACTCAGGTCCTTGCACTTGCCAGAGAAGCACTTATTCTACTGAGCTATCTCCTCAGCCCCTTTAACTTTATAAAATGTATACCTGTCTCAAAAGCTCATATGCCACCCCAAAATTATGTACTGTTATGGGTCAACTCTGCATGGGAACCAGATCAGCCAGATAGAAATTTGAATAGAGCCTTTTATTTACTGAGCTCAGGTCTGTCAGCCACTTCTCTCGCAGGCCCCGAACGTAGGTAGCAAGGGGGTATTTATAACAGAAATCACATCCAGTTTGGTAAGCAAACTTGTTATCTAGCGCAGAACAACAGGAACTGCATTCATTTGACACAGCTGCAAACTGTTTATAACTAAAAGGTCTTTCACAGCTTAGTGATAAGTGCATATTTTTATAAGGTACATCTTAAGCTGCCTATGTTACAGAAGATGGTCAGGGAGGGAGTTTGTGTTAGCTTGCTGCCTTGACAAGAAACAGTTATTTATTGTTGAACGGCCTTGAGCCGAAAGGGAGAACACATTTCTTTTTCTTTTTCTTTTTCTTTTTTTAAATTTTATTTATTTATTTGTGTGTGTGTGTGTGTATGTGTGTGTGTGTGTGTGTGTGTGTGTGTGTGTGTGGCCAGCTCAGCCCACCAGGGGGCAGGGCTGGCTGGCATGTAGGGCTGGGGGATTGAACTGCGGTCCCTGTGCTTTGCTAAGCTTGTTCTAAGTAGGTGCTTTAGACCACTGAGCCATCTCACCAGCCCCCGAGAACACATTTCTTAGAGCAGATAACAGGAAGCACAAGGGGTTTTTATAATTTTTCACAATTAAGGCACAAAACTCTGTTAACCGTTTACATGTAGAATCCTTATGCATTTATACATCAGTTAAAATAAATGCAACTTAAAAGAAAGAAGAAAAAGCTAATAGTTATTCAAAGATAACTGTCAGCAAATGACAGAAATGAACACTTTTAATGGTGAGGGAAAATAAACAACAATGGAAAGATCTAACAGAAGGCAAAGATGGGTCCTTTGTTCTAATATCGTTCTTTAGTCTTATCAGAAAGTTTCTTAGCCTGAGGTGGTGATGCACACCTGTAATCCCAGAATTTGAGAGGATGAGAGAGGAGGACCGTTGGGAATTGAGACTGATAGCTTTTTTTCAGGAGCCTGGTATAGCACAGAAACAGGCAGAAAGAAAAAGGGAAAGGGGCTTTATTATCTTTGAGGATGTGGAGCGAATCTGGGGAAGATAAGAGATTCTCTGAACTGGAACAAAGGGAAGCTGAGACTTTTATGGCCTTTTTCCAGGGTTAGAGTTTGAGGGGGATGTTTAGATATCTCTGAGAAACTGACTGGGGGTCTTCCCTGCGGTGGCAGGAAGGGTGAAAGGAACTTGCATCTTGGGCTGAGTTGGAGAAGAAGGGGAGAGGAGGTCTTGGGGAAGATGGGCCATTGTTCTGAGGGCTTCAGCCATATTAGATGACCACAATAATGATTCAGCAGTTTGTACTAGGGCCAGAACCTATCAGAGACCAGCCTGGGTTATCAGCCTTAACTGCATAGTGAGATCCTGTCTCAAAAAGGCCCTTCCCCTGCAAAAAAAAGAAAGAAAGAAATTTCTTAAAATTTAACATAAAATAATTGGACTTTCTGATACTTTCAGGTTTCATGCATGATCACTCTTTAATAAATACAGCTGATAAACAATGTCATCTATATTCGGTGCTGCTTTATTACATGTATGTATCCCAAATCTAGGTAGAAATAGCTCCAAGTTTCAGTGTTAAAGAGCATTATGTTTTTCTTTTTCAGTGTGTAATTTAATCTGAATAAAAACCTTTAGAGCGTCTTTGATCCTTCATGCTCTGTGAATTTGAGCAGTATCATTAGTGAAATTACTCCGACTGCTCTCACATTTGAAAAAGACGTCCTAAGGGAGTACAGACGGCGTCCACGGGGTGGCTGTATTCTAACAACTTCAACCATTTCTCTAGGTTTTTACACCACCCTGGAAGAATATTTAATGTAATTTACAAGGCATCTATCTCAATCTCTTTCTTCCTGTCTCTATCTCTGACTCTGTGTCATTCTTTCTCCTCTGCCTGTCTCTTTCTCAGTTATAAAATATCTATTCATTTTAACCTTCAATAAGAATTTAAAAAAAGAACATTTAAAAATCTGCAATATTATCCCTTTTAGAAGGCGGACATTGATGTCAATAAAAAAAAAAAAGAAACTATGTTTGTGGACAAGATACCATGTCTGCATCTTGTACTATGAATAACCGCTAAGAAGACAACAATATGCAATGTATTAATTATTGAAACTCTCCCACTAATCGGTTTTGGAACTGTCTCATTTGTATTTGTTTCTCAATAAATTTTTTTTTTAAAAAAAACTCTAAACTCAAAATGAAATGTCTGTATGTTGTATTCCAAACACAGTAAAAATCCTTAAAAGTCATTATAAAATGTCATTGGTAAATAATTGTATGAAGACAGCAAAGCACCTGCTATTAACCGCCGACTAAAGCAGCAGTTTCTCTACTTGGCTGTATTTTCCTATCAACCTGAAAGAGGCTGGTTTCTGTTTCGCTTTCCTGGGAAAGTGAAACCTCCCTCCCTAGTCCCCGCCTCCCTGGACCGGCTGGGCTCTGGCAGGTGCAGCGAGTGAA